GTTAATTTTTATCATAAAATTACTTAAAATGTCATCACTGAATATTCCAAATCAAGGTCCTTGGAAACATTCATGCTATAAAAACAGTTCTGATTTATGCACCTTTTATTATTGTTGCCTGCATAAAAAGCTGTTGTTCACTTTGTCAGAATAGTGAAATCTGTACATCTCTTCATTGTGAACGCAGAAGCAATTTCATTTTAAAGCAGCAAAGAGCAGTTTCTAATAAAAATTTAATTTGTAGCCTCTTACTGCAAATGCTTCTGTGTTAATTCTCATTTAAAATGTGTGATCTATCCACTTAAACAGCTGCAATATCAAAGGATTTACTTTTTTTTTGGTAAAATTCAAATACATCAGTAATAATGTTTCACTTTTATCTCATTATCAAATTAGTTTCACTATACTGCCTCAGCCTCAGTGAAATGACTTACATACCATTTAAAAATCAACCATTAAGTTGTTTTAAATCATTCCAACAAGATATTGTTGGGTGCACAGTAATTAATCTCTTCTATCATCTTTACTGCGTTCGGGCACAAAGGTGGACCGCGGTTTGCGTAGGTCGAGCAGGACAGCAGAGCGGTGCGTGCTGGCTGCAGCTGCGCGGCTGGGGCGCTCGCATCCTGCATCCTTACCCTCCCTGCCAGCCGCATCCCCGCTTCCCAGCTGGCACGTTGCGGTTGCAGCCTCTCACACGTTAACCTGATGGGACAGCGAGCACAAGGCTTTGCAGGATGTATGCGGAGAGTTTGCTTTCCTTGCTTCCTTATCCTTCACCAAGTAAAAGTTTTCTCCTTCTAATTTGCTTTGGGAACCTGATGCTTTCCCAAAGAAGAATGTATTTGGTCCTGCCAAACGCCTTAGTTGTCACGCAGTTAAAAAGCAGCAGCTGGAGGTAATTCACAGCCCGGCAGGGACATCCCTAAACACTTCATTGGAGGACACCCACTTCGTACCTGCACACACCTCCGAGTACGACGTCGCTGTGCGGCGCAAACCGGGGGATGCGGTTAGCGATCTCTCTCGCCGCTGTAAGTGCTGTGCTGATTGATTTGTGAGTTCTTGCAGCAGAGTGGGATTGTGCTGGGATGGCAGCACACCGTTTTGGGGTGGCCGTGGGCTTCGTGACATGCATTCTTGGACTGCTAGTGCAAATGAAGCAAAGAAATCTGCTCCTGCTGTTGTTCAAAAGGCTGCTTCCAGCTCTGCCTCCTGCTGCTGGGCTCGCTGCTCCCTGCCCATCCTTTCGCAAGCTCTGCCTTACCAGCTGCCTTGTGGGTCCCTTCGCTCAGCCTCTTATGTCCGTTTTTATCTCATCAGTGGATCTGAATAATCACACAAAAGTGCTACTGAGAGTTTTTTCCAGTTCTTCTCTGTCGATGGTAATGCATCCAGGGCTCGTATTGAGGGATGAACGCGGGGCTGGCTGCGGCGGGCGCGTTGCTGGAGGCTGCTCCCAAGCGCGCCGTCACTGATCCTGCGCTGCCTGCCTCCGAACCCGTTTGATCGTTGTAGGGGGTCAAACACTTGGCTCGAGTCTTTTTTTATGTTTTATGTTTCTCACAGGCAAATGGGGTTGAAAAAAGAAACTGGAGGGACCAAAGTGGAGAATTCTCATGAAAAAAAACACAAAAAATAGATGCAAACCACAAAGCACCATTTGTGCTTGAATTTGGGGGGTTGAGGGGAAGGACAGCACTGTTCAGCTGCTATAGACGACTTGGTTTTCTTCAGCTGGAGAAATGCTTTGATTCTATTCTATTGTTAATTAACCACTCTGAGAAAAAAATACATTTGTAAATTAGGCAGGAGACCGCTTCAGGACGCTGCGCTGGCTTCTGCCAAGGCTGGCAGTCTCCTTCTGGTTCTCACTCGCAGGTGCAAATGTTACAGAGACCAACTCAAGGGTAGGTCACTGCTGTGGAGCTGATGGACCCCCCACTGCCAAAACCTTGCCGCATAAAACCAATGCACCCAGTAAGAAATCCTCATTCTTCTTCTAGCAGGAACATTCTTGAGGGGTTATCTTCACCAGTCTGTCTTTAACTACAGAAATGCCATTTTTTATGCTTGAATTGACGTGGAAACGTGCAACCAGATCTGCTGGTGGAAATACCTGACTCTCTTCATTGAGAAAAGGGGCACAAAGTGGAACTGGTTCATATCCTGGTTAAAGATCACCTGGGACATTTCAGCAGGGCTATCACTTGAAAGGTTTGTCCTTGCCACTCACGTACAGCGAGGAGAGCAGCTTCTGCTGCCACGTGGCTGTAAATGGCCAAGCCTTATTCAAAAGCCGTGTTGTAGTTGGAAGAGTTGACTGCATCTTTTAGAGGACCGTTTGCTTTTGAGGTGAGTTATTTTTACTTTTCCATTTTGTTCTAGTTAAATATTTTTACTTGCTCTCAGAACAATAGCTCCCACCACACTGAAGCCTTCGCCCAGTGCCGTAGCTTTTCATACCTCCTCCCGTAGCAATCCGTGCTGTGCCCAAGGGTCTCATCTCCTTACTTCAGCTAAATATAGACTTTTCAAGCCCTTGTATAGAGCCTAATCCATACCTTTCCTAAGCTTAACAAGCTGAATCCAGTGGCATAAGCAGCTGACGCAGCTTTATGGGTAGAGGAATCCTCTCCGTTCTCTTACGCCTGCTCTGATCTGCCAGGGTTTGTTTAAATTTTCTGCTGCTTCATCTGGTTATTTTACTGTCTGTACGTACTTGACTCTGAGGACTGGATTGTTGAGATGATTTTTCCTGTCTGCAGACTTACTCTTCAGTTTTCCATGCTGTCTGCCCAGGGAGACCCAATAATTCTGTATTTTTGCAAGTAACTGTTTAATAATTTAAAAAAAAAAAAAAAAAAAAAAAAGAGGCCAAATCTGCCATTACTTTTACATGATTCAGAACTGGTGTCCTGTTTACCAGCCTGTTCACAGGCTGAACACACAAAAAAAGAGAGTTTCTCTGGCATTGGCTGCAAAACTGCTCTCGCCCAGTACTCTTTGGTTTGGAGGGAGCAGCGCCCATATGCACACTGGTGCCGCAACAGGATGAAAATATCCACTAAAGTTTCTGGCAGAATCTTATTTTGACAAAACATTTACAATGGTTGCAAAAAACATTTGTTTCCATATCTTAGTGAGTGTGGCTTTTTCCAGCTTGGTTGCAGACTAAATGTGGGTTTTGTTGATGCTCTTTTCTCAAAGCGAAGTGGTTTGTAGTCCTGACGCGTACAGTCCCACGTCACTGTGTGGCTCTGATTCAAAAGTGGTTTGAAACCCCCTTTGAAAGCAGAGAGGGTCACAGTGTATTTTAACAGTTACTCGTCATGCCCCAAGCGTGCACGTTGGCCTGTGTACTCACATACCCCAAAGCCACCAAAAGAGCTCTGAGCTCCACGGAGCCAGGTCACTGGTTCACAGCAGCCGTGACTTGCAAGGCTTAAAAAAGAGTAGAGGAGGTGGAGGTGCATGACCGTAGCGCTGTCTTTGCTTTAGCCACGCGCCTTCCCCTCTGCCAGCAACCAGGAGTTTTGGGACCTTCCTGCATCTAGACCATCACGTTTAGTAATTACCAGTGTATCCAAACTACACGAATTTCTCTAATTATTTACCTCGTTTGTAATTTTGGACTGTCCTGAAGAGCTTGAACACAGTGTGAGTTGTTGGAGAGATTCTGGAAGCCTCTTGCCAGCACCGACCCGCCCTGCTGCCTTGCCTGTGGGAGGGGAGCAAACGCCCTCTCCTCTGCTTCCCGTGGGTCAGAACCAGCAGCTGAAAGCTCTGAACTCATCTCCCTGCACTAGTTGCTGCTTTGCGCTGCCAGCGGGACGCGAGGAGGCTCAACGCTACCACATGCAGGGAGATGGCATTGCTGTGACGTGTGCCCAAACCCTTTCTCTGGCAGAAGAGATGTCCGGGTGTTCTCTGCACGGAGAAGGCATTTCAGGCTGGGAAGCAGAGAAACGCCAAGAGTGCTCTTGGTGCGGTGTGAGCTAGCCTTGTTCGTGCCGGCAGTTAACGTGAACCTGCCTTTGTTGCCTCTCGTGGATCCTCTTGCTTAGCAGAGCTCTTGTGGAGCTGTGATGCGAGGGCTGTATCTCACGGCACCCAGGTGAAATTCTTTCTGTGCTGCAAACATGCTGTGCAGCCTGCGCCGCTTCAGGCCGAGCAAGCGGGAGCAGAATCCTGTTTGCTTTTCCTCCGTCAGAAGGAGCAGTGCCATTCTGGAGTCTGATTTTTTTGGCTATTTGGCTCTTCAGCTGCGCAACAGCTTCTTATCTTGGGTCCTTCATTCCTTCGCAGTTGAGCTTTGTTGTTCCCCAGCACTGTGTTCTGCTGTTGGATTGCGTTCGCGCGGCGTGCCCGCAGGCTGCGCTGTGTTGTTACATATGTTGTGCCGTCCAAAATAATCTCGGTGGGTGTTCTAAGCAGCTGCCATGATACAACCCATCTTCTTGGCAGCCAGAAGCGCTGTGAGCTATGTGTCTTCTTTTCCTTCTCATCTTCATATATTATAATGGAGGTGGAACCTGTAGAAGGCTTGCGTATGGTATACCTTGCCAAGATCGCTCTGGTACCTAGCAGCTGTCCGTACATGCTTGGTGAAGAAGATGTGTTTTGTTAATTAGGTTTATGCAGGATAGTGCTTGGAGAACTCTACGTAGATACAAGATGGTCTCCCTGGGGAAAAAAAATAAATTCTTTGGGACTCGGTGCCACATTTCAGTGGAGGGCCAGAGCAAGCTGGTAGTGGGCTTCCAAATGACACTTTTTTTTTAGCACCACATCAGGAACATAGGGTGCAAAAAATCCAGTTTGACTGTATGAGGGTAAAAAGCACCTAAGCTTTGCTTTGATATAGCCGTTAGCAGTCTGCATAGCTGCATAGCAAATGCACAGCTTATTGGGGTTTGGGTTTTCTCGTTATTAATTGCGTACTTGCATGTTTGGAGACGGACCGAAGCTAATATAATACTTGCTTTGATATTTTCCAGCTGCGTGGGTGTTGAAGAAGAAGAGGCACCAGATATCGACATCTATCATTGTCCAAATTGTGAGAAAACCCACGGAAAGTCTACTTGTAAGTATACTGGCACGGCTGGTCCTCAGGTGCATGTCAGATTCTGTCTGTTTAAACACCTTTTTTGTTGTTTTGTTTTGTTTTGTTTTCATTTCAAAAAGACACACCTAAAAATTAGAATTCAAGTCATGAAGTGAAAAAAAAAGGTGTTAGGGGGAGAAAACCCTGGACTGGATTGTGGAGCTGTGGCTGCAGCTCCGTGCCTGCCCTCAGGCAGTGTGTAGGAGCCCGTGCCAGGCACCTTACCTGGGCAGCACCGCTCTCCAGTCCCACTGATGAAGATGATGCTTCCTTCCTCCCACAGAATTAAGAATTGTGAGAGCACTTAGTACTGTGGGCTAGAAAAATTCTACAACGACAGCTAGTTCTAATACAGTGAGTTTTGGAAACTACATGGTGTTTTTTGTCTTCGGATGAGAAGAGTGGGAGAGAGTACGTTACGCTTGGCCTGGATGTAAAACCGTAGCGATTTCAGTGGCAGTCAAAATTGTAGGATGCACCGAGGGTGCCGATTCTTGCAGTTCTTTCATGAGAAAAAGTTCTCCTGAGTAAAAGTGATGGTTGATGTCCGTGGGAGTTTTGTCTGGGAAAAGAAGTGTAGGATGGGTTTGCTTTGGTCAGATTAATTCACAGATTCTTTCTGTTATACAATGGGGTAAAAAAAAAAAAGAAACCAATCCCTGTAAAAAATGAAGTGCTTAACTTGAAAGCCATTTGTTGTAAATAAGTAACAGTGATGCGGAGATTCTCGCTGCTTTGTAACCTTGTAGCAACACACAGAAGAAGAGCACTGTGCTCATCTCCCAGGAGCCGGACAGATCATAATGTTCCTTTTTTTTTTAGTGCAAAGTAAGAGAAGGCTGGAAACTGACTTTTGTTGTGTTAAAATTCAGTAATTTTAAAAACAAGTAATTATTTCTGCATGCGAGCTTAAAAAATTGCTAGGGGGAAAGGAGAGGAGACTGAAATGTTCGTTTTGGAGGCAAAAATGGGAATCATTATTCCACTTTGACTTTTAAAAAATCAAGTGTGAACTGGAAACCTGAATGACCTGCAGCTGTTCCTGTCTCCCAGATGGTCTGCTAATAACTTTGGTCCAAGCAGGGCACCCAGCAATTGGGCAAGTTGGCAAAAAACCCCTCGAGAGGCTTCTTCTGAAAGACTTAACAAAACCAGCATGTCCCCACAAAATGTTTTGATTTAAGAGTCAGCCTTTCTAATGTTCTGCTGGAAGATTTCTGACAAACACATTGGAAATCGGTACAACAAATAACTACAAATCATCTTCAAGTGAACAATTTGGTATTCAAATGGGTTGTGCTGGAAAGGGGGGTACCGCTGCAGATACTCTGTTATTGACCCCGTACGGAAGAAGCAGCACAGGATTTCTAGCCTCTGCGAATTTTTGTATAACACTGAGATGTGTCTGATGCTTTGATTTCTTTCACTTTGCTTTGAATTATGAATGATGAAAGGAACCTACTTTTCAGTGTGAGAGTGAAAAAATCAGAAAGAAGCAGCAAAAGTCTGTAATCAGGAATTAAATATCAATTCTATAAAAACAGTGGTGCATAATCTCAATAAAAAAATTAAAAGTTAAGACAAGGAGAGTTGAATCAGCAGCAATCTGTTGATGCTTTATAAAGGTTTTTGGCTATCCAATTCTTTTATCCAAATAAAAATCCGACTTGGCAGTGCATCCCTCCCTCTGCGTCGTGCGGCAAGGCAGAAAGTGCTGCTGGAGCGCTGTCGCTAGTTCCATCGTGTCGCTAGTTCCATCGTGTCGCTGTACGTGGTTACCAGTGTGGCGGGAATGCAGAGCATTAAGATCATTCCGCAGCAATACAGCTTTGGTTTCTCCCTTCAAATGCATTACAGGAAGTTTAATGATGTACAAGAGCAATCGTCAAAGCAGTTGAGTGTACAAATTTTGGGAACATTTAAACATGGGCTATGGAGGGCCTTACCTAGTTTCGGTGAAGTGCAAGATCCCAGGTTCTCACGCTGCGTAACCCTTTTCACCAGTAACTCATCGAATCGTGGGTCCTGTTGAAAAATGAGGCTGCTATCCTGCAGCCCCTCCTTGCGGAGTGCAATAGGCCAGGAACATTAAAAGACCGACAAAAGGAAGGCAGGAACAGCTCGGCTTAACGCGTTCGTTCATTTGTACGTGGGGTGTCCCGCTCCACGGCACTGGGGCTCTGCTGGGACTGCTGGGAGATGGCCTTTGTTTATAAACCATTCTAATATATGTTTAAAATAGCTATCCAGCAGTATCGGGTCTGTAATAAACATGTAAGTGGTGTTCCAGAGCCAGTAGTTCACTGGTAGGATTTAATTATCGCGAGATTAGCAAAGGGAAACACAGACACCAATCGTCTGTTATGCAACTCGTCTGGATTTAAAAATATACGTGTATTTCTGGAGCACGCATTCCGCAATATATGCTTTCCAGATGTCACATTTAAAAATCATTTTCCTCTTCTTACATTTTTCCACTTGACCAATGTGGCTTAGTGGCTACTATTTCAGAAGATTGCTTCCTGTCAAATGACATTTTAAACCATTTTGATTTCATGAAATTTGTAGGGACTCCTCTTTGGGAAAAATCACACACATACCAAATTTTCTGACATCATTTAAATAAAATGTAAGTGCTTTGTTTAGGCAGACTTGACTCATTTTCGTAGCATGATCGGAAACGTTCGGTTTGATTGCTGTCTTATTTGCACCAGTGAAAATCAGGAGGAATTCTTTAGAATTGGTGAAGCTACATAGATGCAAGCAAACCCAAGTCAGGCTGAAGCTGTCTTTCAGGAGTCACCACCTTTAATATAAATCAATAGAGAATCAACAGAGTGCTGCTCCTTCTTCATAAATACCTTTGAAATAATGTGAGTATACCTTTGAAGTCTAGAATTACTCCTTTTTGAGATACAGTTTTCATAAAACTGTATTCCCTTTTTCCTCTGGAGAGTTTCCTGTAGAAGGAAGGGTTTATACTTTCCAAAAGTGAAATTTGAATCAGAAAGTTCTGCAGAAAAATAAATCTGTAATCATTTAAGAAAAAAAGTGGCCTTTTCTGGCCAAAGCTAGTATTTGTTGCACATGTTAATGGGCCTTTAATCCGTACTGTGGTGTTCGTGGTAAAGATGAAACATCAAGAGAATGGCTGAAAATGGGCCAAACGTCGATTGTTTGATGCAGTATAATGCACTGCAGCAGCCGGCTTGCTGCCGTCCAGGAGATAGCACCTCCTGGGAAGCCTTCTGCTGGCAAAGGCGTCCTGTTGCCTCTGCGTGAGGGGTGGGTGTGAGGGGTGGGTACCTGCCGCTGCTCGGTGCCGAGGGAAATAGCTGCTGGTGCTTTTGGATGAGTTGCAGTGAATTGCTGAATTCAGCGCTGATTTGCCGATTTTGTTTCTTGATGTTGCGTGCTATCTGAAGTGTAGTAAAAGAACACGCTAAGATGATAAGCTCTTTAATTTTCCCTGTGGCAAGCGACACCTGTTTCTCTGGGACTCGTGCTAAGTGTCCCAGTGTTGGTTCGGATCTGCTGAGAGGGAAAGGAGGCAATCCCTGGAAAGGGAAGGAGAGGAGGAAGGTTTGGCATTCGTGTGGGGCTTGTTTCCTTTGTTACCAGGAGCACTGGATTAATACACTAAGCCTGAGAGTCATTAAGATAAAGAAGTAGCAGCTTTAATGAATATATCCAGCTAGGCTGGAGAGCTGCATGGAACTAATGAAACCAGCATGCTTTGTGCAAAACCTGGGATGGATTTGTTGGGAGGTGTCTTTACTCGAGTTATTCCAGGGTTGTGGTTGGGAAAACAAAGTTAGCTTTTTCTAAACCTCTTGTCTTAGAGCTGTGGCCCCCAGATTCCTTTCTTAATGAAAAAGTGGGTGGATCTGTGTGCTTGTGCAAAGGGCGAGGAAAGAAAAACGTCCGTGCGTGGTTACCGAGGAGTCTGGGTCCTTCCCCAGCTGCTCGGAACAGCAAGAAAAGCCTGAGATCTTGATTTTGGGGTAAAATACTGAGTTTAATGATGTAAAACAAAGGTGAAAAATAAAAGAAGAAAGTTGTGACGTATGAAAATTCTACTAACAGAGGCTTGAAATAGTATGAATATGCGCTTGGGACAAAACCAATTTTCTACCAAAATGAGAATGTCTGGACAGACTGTGGAAATAGTAACAGCTGAGAGAGATGGTGCTGACTAAGAGAAAAAACTGGACCAGTTTTTCTTGCTCCGCATTATCTGGCTGTCAGCGAGGCAAGGCAGAACTGCATTGACATTTGCCTTACTTATTTGTGCTTGTTCCAGCTGACCCTTTTCCCGTGACGGACTTGCCTATATGTCTGTCACCCACTGGGAGCACCGTCGAGGTGCCGTCACTCTGCTGTCATCAACTTATGGCCTAAGCCTGGCTCGCCTTTCAAAACCTAGGAATAAGAGGAGTTCTAAAGATTGCATTTGTGATGCCCTTGTATTTTTTTTTTTCTTTTTCCTTTCATGTGCATGCTGTGTGCAGGGCATAATTCAAAGCCCATCAAAATTGATGTCAAATCTGCCACTGCTGGACAGACCTTTAGACTAAGGTAATTCACGACAAATATGTTCATAAAGATCTGTACTGTGTATTGAGAAGGCAGAAAAGGGGCTTTCTGAGAGTTTTATGATAAGGATTAAGCATGTAGTCTGGCAAGTGCAAAACATCCAGAGCCTGTGTTTGCCTGGAGCCTGCGGTAGCTGTGCAGCTCAGTAATTATCCCTCTGGTTGCCCTTAAGTTACAAACCGAACACTGTTCAATATGTAACAGATCTTCAGGCTACGGTATAATTGTCTAATGGTCAATTGAGAGCAATATTATAATTTGCAATGCAGCATAGTGGGGGTTCCCTCCGCTCTGCTTGTATAAGAAATTAAATGAAGATTTGTCCTTCCTTCAGATGTCTTAATAATGATCTTCTACTTAACATACGGTACTGTCCAATTCATTCTCTTTCAGTGAAAAAGAAAAGAAATTGGCATAAACACGATACTGGACAGACTACAGAGGTCAAACCTGTACAGAATGGGAGCCAAGTCTTTATAAAGGAACTTCGAAGTCGTACTTTTCCCAGGTAGGTTGTTCAGCTGCATGCATGGACAGGGCTGTTCAGATAAACCATTTATAGCCGGTGTCCTCTGAAGCCGATGATGGTCCCTGCTGCAAACGTTACATAGTACAGAGTGATGACGTTTAAATGAGTGCTGGTTTATTGCAGATGTCCCAGGTTCTTCCTTTTTATATTTGTGCAGCGATATTAAAATCTGCTGTTGGTTGAGCCCAGTTCCACAGAAGCTAGTATTTGTGAAGACAAGAACAAGAATGTGTTTGGCACCCACAACATTCACTTGCATGAGAAACAAACCAATTTATTGTATAGAATTATCCAGTTCTCAAAAATACGAATGGTTTTGCTGAAGTCTGTCTCCATCTTGAAAAGAAGAACAATGACGTCCTCAGTTGCTACAGTGACAAAGGCTCTCTTATTTGGGATAATGAATAGTGCTAATTGTTAGGTGACATGTTCCACACTTTATTAGGCTGCTTCACAGCCATTTGTAAGAGTGAGGATTTTCTTCTGGTTCTCTAATGTAGGCCTTAGCCAAATAAATCCTTAATTATTAATGGCTATTTATTTTAGAAGAATCCTTGGGGACTGGTAAAGTGTGCTTGGTAAACACAAAACTTCCTTTTTATGCAGAATTTAATTTCACATTTAATTTCAGATACGGGTCTCAGGCTGGTTCAGGAGAAGGCTGAAAATACCTTTGCAAAGTGTTTGCTGCGCTTACAGATGTGTTTCACAGAACTGGGGATCCCATATTTTTATTTGCTTGGCTATTTGTGTTTGGGCCTGATAGATTTTTGTCTTAGCCTTTTTTTTTTTTTTTTTTTTTTTTTTTTATTTCGAAGGGGTTGCCTTTTTTTTTTTTTTTTTTTTTTTTTTTGTATATGCAGAGCAGTTTCACAGGTTGCAAAGCTAATTTCTTGAAAAAGGTTTCAGGCCTGGGCAGAATGATTTCAGTGACCTCGGGTGGCCTCTGAGATGGCACTCACGGATGCAGTATCTCTGAGTCGCTCACAAATTGTAAAAAAAAAAAAAAAAAGTACCCCTATTTTTTTTCCTTTGTTTCTCACATAAATGTGCACATGCGAAAATCCTGCTGCCAAGTTAACGTTTCTGAGAAAGAAGGGTCTGTAGCCAAAAGGAGCGCCTGCGAGATTCAGGCCTCCAACATCTCTGGCTGCACCACTAGTAAAGCAAAGTCTTGTTGAGAAATTTTCTCTTCTGAAGAAAATGAATGAGATCTGCAGATGTTCACAGAACAAAAACCAGCAGCCGTCGGTCAGAATGTGATGAATGGAGACGGGGGTCTCAGTTCAGAGGCAGAACCATCGTCGCTGATTCACAGCACATGACAGTAGATGATGACCCACGGTCAGTCCCCTGGTGAGGCTCGGATCAAAAGGAACAGTGAAGACAGCAAAAAGAAAAAAATATAATTCATGTCGTTCCACTCCTGAGTGTTTAATCCCCAAATAGCATTAGAGTAGTAATAGTAGTAGTAATAAAAATTAAACAGGTGATTCACGTGCTTCAGTGTAGGTGCCAGACTCTCCATTCTGGCACAGTCATTACTGGGTGCTCTGGTACTGATCTCTCTCTATGACTATGAGTAAGTTTCTGTGGCACATATAGAGGCAAATCAGACTTGAACAAGCACGTGAGATATCTGTGGTCGCTGTAAAATAAGTGCAGAGGTTTAGTGGTAAATCACGGTTTCCTTCTTGCTCCTTAAAATCTCGAGCCTCATTCTTCCTACGTTGCTGGAGTGTGGTACCAGCGCTCACAGAAATGAGGAGCGCTGCTTTTAATTAAGTACTAATGAAATTTGCCTCCTGACTGGTCATTGCCGATGCCCTGTGGCTGGGGTGATCCAGAAATAATTTCTACAGCCTATCCCTGTTTGCGTCCAGCCATCTTCTTCTCTGGGGTTCAAACGCCACTGGGGCAGCCTGAGCAGGCCCAGGGCGAGGGGTTCCCCCCGTGCGGAGGGGTTGAAGGAGGAACCCCCACAGCTCAAGGGTGTAGGGGAGCCCCCACAGCTCAAGGGTGTTGGGGCTGTGCCGCAGGCTGGGCTTCACGGGGAGGGGAAGGCGGTGGGGCCGGAGCGGGCAGCCACCATGGCGGCACTCGCAGCCTCCTCCCCTTTCCCGACAGTTTTTCGTGCGTATGAAGACGTGAGTTGTAGTTCAGAACTGCCTCAGGAGAGGGCAGTCATGGATTGGCCTTCCTGCCCAGGGAGGTAGTGCTTTCTGGGGTGAAAACTCCCAAGTTTTGCTGTTCCCCACCAGCAGCCATGGCCCCAGCCTGACAGGTGCTTTTCAGAGTCCGGCTGACAAACAACACACAGCAGCAGGGCACTTCTGGGACTGAAGGTCGTTCGTATGCAGTCACTTTTCACTCTGAATTCAAAGGGTTTTACTCTTGAAAAGATCTAGGGATCAAGCTTGAATGTCCCTTGATAGCTGCTGGTGCAGGTGGCTGGCCGGGGGAGCTGCCCTTCCCTCAGTCCCTTTGATCCCCTCCCAGCAACCTGAAAATGATTTCCAGAATATTTCCAAAGCAATTTATTTGACTACTTAAAAGGGATTTGCAAAGCATTTCCTGGACAATTGATTTGAGATTATGTAACATTTTTAATCTTGCCTTCTTCAGAGTGGAGCATTTAACACTAATTTCTTTAACAATGATCAGCGGTAACTTAACAGGTCTGTGTAGATGAGGAAAATGGTCTTTCTCCATAAGCTGTTATTTTAGGAGTTTCCAGTAGTTGGTGCATGAGACTCAAGCAAATCAATTCGGGCTGATTTTAGCATGCCCTGAATGCTTTGCAATAAATGGCTTTTTGGCATTTGTCTTATGCACCGAATGCACCCAATTCAAACCTTTTTCCTTTCGGTAGAGAAATGCAGAAGATTCCAAACTCTGCGCAGAAGCACCTCGCTATTGAATCTGTGTTTACTTTTTCAGTGCTGAAGATATAGTTCTGAAAGTGCCAGGCAGCCAGCTAACAACAGAGTATTTGGAAGAAAATGGCTTTGCAGAGCCCATCCTTGTCCCGAAGAAGGATGGCCTGGGTTTGTCCGTACCTGCACCCACCTTCTACGTCAGTGATGTTGAAAACTATGTCGGTGGGTATCTGCCAAGCAGGTGGCATTGTACTGTTTGAAGCTCAGCTGCTTTTTAAAGAAAAAATATAAATATTATTTGTATAAAAATTGTGAAGTATATTGTAAAATATTATCTATGTCTTGAGCTATGGTGACTTCAATATTTGTCATGTAGTGGTAGCTTGTAGTTAGCAATTAATTCACTCTTGTTTCTTGTACCAGCTTGTGTATCTTACAGTGAGCCTGAGCCAGACAGCATTGTATTCCATAGCACTGCATTAAAAGAAACAGTCATAGCAGTATCAAGAAATGGTTTCTTCAGGACAGGTCTTAATTGGTTACTGCCACCTCGCTTTGTATTGAAGGAATTACTAGACTAAGACTCCTACTCTCTCAAGGCAGTCCATTTTTTAACATTGGTGTCAGTGTGAGCTATTTTCATTGCTGCTGGCCAGTTGGATTCATTTTGGCATCCTCCTGTCTCTGACCTGAGCAGGGTATTGTACTGCATCTTCTCACAAGTCATCACGTCATCCCACCTTGGAAGATATACCTTGGCGAGCGGCCATGGAAGTGCTTTGAGGTCGCTTGTCTTGTCTCCACATCCACTTCTTTAGCATGTGTAATCTTGTCCCTTGTCTTCTCTCACCCAGTCTGTCTCTCCTGTGTGTCACCTTCTGTCCGATTCCCTCTCTTTCCAGTCTTAATCATAGAATCATAGAATCATAGAATGGTTGGGGTCTGAAGGGACCTTAAAGCCATGGGCAGGGACACCTCCCACTAGCCCAGGTTGCCCAAAGCCTCATCCAGCCTGGCCTTGAACCCCTCCAGGGATGGGGCATCCCCAGCTGCTCTGGGCAACCTGGGCCACTGCCTCACCACCCACACAGTGAAGAATTTCTTCCTAATATCTAGTCTAAATCTGCCCTCTTCCAGTTTAAATCCATTACCCCTTGTCCTGTCACTACATGCCCTTCTACATGTCTTCCAGCAAGGCACTGTCCTTTTTGAGCCCTGACTCCAGCCCTCCGCAGACAGTATCTGTCTGTGTTTCATGGTCCCTTTATCTCCGTGTCTAGCCGGCTAAGCACCCCTCCTGCACTCTCCTTGCCAGGCCACTGACCTGCTCCCCAGCCTGAAGGGTGCTAGCACCAGCCACTGCTGTTCCTGACTGTATCTATTGCTTTTGCAGCGATCATCTGCAGTGAGATAACTGTGAATGAAGGAGAATTCAAGACCTCTGATTTCAATTCTTATCTCTATCCCGTTGCTTCTGCAGGAAACATATTTTCTTTGCCCATCTGCTACACCTGGCAGATTTTCTTGTATGACCTAGGTGTTGCTTATGCATTTGGTGGCTTTCTCTCTGCCTCTAGTTGAAATAATCCACCCTACCAACAAAACTGCTAGTGAAAAGCTGGAGGGAAGAACACAGCTTGTTTAATCTGAAAGTGAGCGGAACAAATACGCGTTGGTCTAACCTCCATGGGGTTAGTTTGCTTGAAAGGGATTTCCCAGGCAGGGATTTATCTCGCTGTTTTATAGTTTAGTACATTGGACCTAGAATGTCTTTTAGAAACGATCTAAAGTAAGTAGCAGAGGACAAAACACTGCAACCGAGGTTGCCAAAGACTTCGTTATTGTTCTGGCATTTCATGAAAAAACAAATTGATTTTTTTTCCTCTCCTGATGTGAAAAAAGCTGTGAGTTAAATGCTAGGAGGGGAGAAATGCAGCCAATTAAAACTGAAGGGAAGAAAGACTGTAAAGATGCTTTTCTTGCAGAAAGGATAAGAGAGTGTGCTTAGAAATGGGCACTCTGACTTCTCCATGGGTTCCCTGGTGTGCCCAGTGTAAAATTCCACTAATTGACTAGTACTGTCAGTATTGACACTGGAGACTTGTATCCAACAGGACCTGTCAGAGAAAGTGTATATGTACTAGCATCTTATTCTCTTTACTCTAATACAGAGGGGATGGATTTTGGTAGGTGTAATTTTGGGTAAAATAACAAAAAGTCTTTTTTTTTGTGGTACATGTGAAATATAATGTAAAAAAATGTGAATTTTCCTGCAAAACTCATCCTCAGTTATAGATTTCATAAGCAAAAATAGAGCGTAAGAGAACTTATGATTTTGGAAAATCTATTTGACAAGATATCCTGTACAGTATTACACTCTTGTCTACAATCCCAAGACTTTTACAGTGTGGTGAGTAGGGCTTACTCTGTGGATATATATGTATTTGCAGATAATTTTCACCAAGCAAATAAAATCCATAATGAAATTAATAGATTCAAAATGACATGAATGCTGTAAAGATAAAAACTACAGAAATAATTATGTCAGGGCATGAATACAAAAGCACGTTTTATGTATATACATGTCTTTTATACATGTATGTGTATGTGTATGTGTATGTGTATGTGTATGTGTATGTGTGTGTGTATCAACAGGGAAGACGCAAAGGCTAAGACGGAGATTGAGGATTGAGATGTTTCTCAAAATGTTAGCTCACCCCCAGGCATACAAAACGCGGCGAGTCAGGCTGCCCTTCAGTCTCTCTTTTCAATGAATTGATTTTTAGGACCAGAGAGAAGCGTTGATGTCACTGATGTCACCAAGCAGAAAGACTGCAAGATGAAGCTGAAGGAATTTGTGGATTACTACTACAGTACAAACAGGAAAAGGGTCCTCAACGTGACCAACCTGGAGTTCTCGGACACGAGGTAAGAATCCAACCTGCTGCAGCATGCCGTGTCGGGGTTCGGCTGGCTGGAGCAGCCTCTGCCTTCTCTGCTGGTTCCCTCTTTGGGCAGTACTGCTTTACCCTTGGCGTTAGCTCGTGTTGCTCTGACTCTCCACTGCATCGTCCGTACACAGCCAGTTCAGGCAAAGCACGGAAACCAAAGTGCTGTTTGCTGTGTGAGGAGAATGGTGCACAGCGGACTAAATGGGCCAGCATTTGTCATGGAAATTCATGGCAGCAAATCACCAGCATTCGCGTGCAGTCAGCATTCCCTTATCAGAACAGAACATTTTGATTTCAGTTTTATTTTAACTCCAGTAGTATAGGTATAAGCAACTATATACTAGAGAGTTACAACTAGAACATAATTTGGTGCTCCAGGAGCATCATGGTGTCATGGTAGTGAATGATAACGCCGTGTGTTCCTAGTGTGATCTTAGGTACTTTGATGCAGCTTGATAAATACCAGTAAGACCAAAGAAGGGAGGGCAGAGATGACCACAGAGGTGTGATAACACTGTGTGTGGGTTTGTGGGAGAACATGGACATAAGGGATCTTAATTTTTAGTATTCTGTGTTGTTTTTCTGGTAAGGCAATGACAGCCCTTCTTCCAGCTTAAGGTGATCTTGAAACACGGTGATCTCCTTGGAGCATTCTTTTTAAAAATGCGTTGTACAGCAGTGAGCATCCTACTTGTATAGCACTGGTTTGAGTGTGTCCTACGTTGCTTACTGAAATCTTTCATTTAAAGTAGCAGAGAGTAAGTAAATATGAGGTGTGGCTCTAGGTATAGTGTAACATGTCGCTAGATGTCCTTGAGTGACAGTAAATTTGAAATTATCATAATTTTGCAGTGCTTTACCATGCGTAACAGTTTCTGTTTCAGTGCTTTTGCGAGTTAACCTGCAATCTGTATGACAGCCGTTCAGAACTGGAGTGATGCTGACTTCTCGATGGGAAGTTGGGGGGTGTGATGGTGCAGATTAACCCTGAATTTGAGGCTGAGGTGCTTTAGTGATGCAGTGAGCTGGAGGTAACAGTGCTGGCTACGGGAATATCACCAGTCCTCAATGACAGGAAGCCTACTGTTCTCCTCATCTTTTATATTACATGTTTTATATATAAGATAATTAGCTGGTGGAAATACTTAAGAGTTCAAGTTATTGCTTTGTGCTTTATGTAGCTGTATTCATCACCTGTGTTGTGCTTTTATTCCATCAGTAGGCAGATGCATCTATAATGTATTGAACTTCGTGCAACCCTCCAGATCATTTTTGCAGTTCTTGTAGTCCTTCTGGGTAGCTGGTACTTCTGAAAAGGAAACGTCAGAGAAGGAAAACATTCCTTTATATACAAATGCTACACGGAAGATGATGAATCAACATAAAACTAAAGAATGGTTGTTTCAGGGAGCATTCCATTTTAGCAAGAAGATTTAAAGTAGCCTTAAAAAAGATGGCTGATGAATAATTACAAGCTCATTTTTTTGAAAGCCATTACCTTTAGCCCTGTAGTTAGTGTTTTAGTCGTGCACACCCATTTCTGCAGAAAGCATCTCTAGTAATTACAGGCTTCAAACATTACCAGTATCTTCAGTTGAGATTTTTTTAGCTTTCTGCCATTATCCCAGAATAACGGGAGGTCTTTTGTTCTGAAGGACTGCTGGAGCTGCCACTCAGTGCTGCTAATTTAGACATTAACTAGCAAATATTTTATTTCTTAACATAGACAGTGACACTTTAATTGAATGCACTGCTCCATCTTTCCCTGCCATTTTAAGTCGAGCTATTGTCAGCAGTGTTTGACAGTCAGTGTAAATGACACATGGGAGCATTTAATTTTACTTCAAAGTGCAGACACTCGTCCTGACGTGGTATTTTAAAGCATTCAGCAGTGAACCTCCACCCCCTGCAAATACTAGTCCAAATTTTAGACTATGTAAATATAATATTTAGCACATTCAGGAATGAAACACTTTTAATACGTGTTTATCATGCCACTAGATCATCCTAGCTGTGATTTAGAGTGTATATTGTATATTTAATATAAACATGATATATAAAGTACATAAAAATATACAATATGAATATATGCTCAATGTAAACAAATGTATTCATTTGTATCAATTCTATAAATAAATATTATGTATGTTATCTTTTAAATGTAGTCACATTATCAACCCAAATTAGACTTCTTTCCCTCTTCTGAGGTTTTAAGGTAATTTACTCAGTCCAAATAAAAAGATCACCATGATTTTCAGCATCAGATCAAGCCTTATGTAGTCCTTAAGTATAAATGTTATTGTTATTAGGATATTTAATACTAAGCTTAACTTGCAAGTTTTTAAGATTTGCCGGACCATTTATGTGAGAGAGAACACATTTCAGCAGTGGCTGTGACACCAGCACTGTTGATAACTGACATTACCAGGTGGATAGATGATGGTA